AATTAAGTAAATACCTGATTTTATTTTAGAAATAACTGTGACCATCCTTATCATCATTTACAGTACAGCTCAGTTTAGTACTGATGCACATACGTGAGAGGTGGTGGGACTAGTAGTGTAAGGTAAGTAGGAAAGATCAAAGGTTGGGGTTGAATTGCATTGGGGTTTGTCTTAAAATCCATTAAAATGTCTTTCTCTTCTTTCCTTTCTCTGTTCATCTCTCCATCTCTCTTCCCCTCAATCTATCAATTCTTCGCCTACACCTAAGACCTCTTAACCCCCCAACCCCCCCACCACACCCCACCCCACCCCACCATTGTGTCTCCATTACACCATTTTACAGCAACACCCCCAGCCATCACACTCAACTGACATGAACCACGAGACCACATCAGAGGGAACAAGCTTCAATGAACTTAAGCCTCCATCAATGGGGCTTTGGCCTGAAGGAGACGGAGTTGTCAGAAACTTCCCAAGAACCCTCCCTGTATTCCCCACAATCCCCTCTCACTTAAGATCAACTGCTGGACTGATGAGAAAAAAAAACAAAAACCTTTTTTAAAGAGAAAAAAGAAAATCAAGTACAGTATTTATGGATTTATTCCTCTCCAATTTGTCTGGAGGGTTGAAGAAAATTTCAAGGGCATTTGGTCTTTTAATCTGGAGATTACTGGTATTTTATTTTTCTACAGCTTTTCTTACCATCAGAATTGGTTATCAATAACTTGGAGGTCAAGTGTTTTTTAACAGTATGTTCCAAACAGCATTAACAAAGGGATTGTGGGTGATTTTTCCTGGGATTGTATATGCTATGACTTGATGGTCCCTCTCAAATTTTGGTGTAAGTGTGTTGTCGTTTTTTGTACAGTAAATATTTTATTTTCTCTCTCAATGTGAAAAAAAATATTTTTTCAATTCATGTATAAAAAAAGATTGATTTTATCAAACCACTGAGGCAATTACTCCTCTCACCTTATTTAAAGTTGTGACTTAATGATTTGTTGGGTGATCTTTCCATCTTTTGATTGTTTTAGTCGTTCTTGTTGTTTTTCTTGTTGTTGTTGTAGTGCTTGTGTCACTAGAACAGGGCTTTATCAGGACCAAGGAAACAGACAGTAATTTACTGAAATGACCTTTATTTTATTTATTCCCACCTCTGTCTTATTTTATGTGTTTATGTTTTAGATCCCCTCTGCACAGTTTGTCAGTTAGTTATTTCTACTGAGCATGACAATAGCACCCACAGTACTTCTGTATACGTTTCACATTTTGACTTTTCTACCAAATGGGCAGTGTGTACTCATCCAGAGAGAGGGAACTCAAATGAAAGTGATCACAAACAAACAAGTGTATCGTCTGCCTAATTGCTATTGAAGCAGTTGAAAAGTGAAGACAAGCATAGGATGATAATTGCCTCATTAAACTGCAGAAGCTTTATTGGCATCTTGCTCCATCCAAGCATTTACATTCATGCTTGTTATTTGATTATTACCTGACCAAGGTAATACTCCAATTTTTGCAACTGTCACATTAAATTTGGGGTCGTATTTGTCATTTTTCAGAGTCCTAGGAACTGAACTCAGGATTAAGCTCAGAAGTCAAAGTTAACGCTCAGACACTTGCTGTCAGTGTGATTGTCATGAGTTAAAACCTTTTGGCTGCTGTTTATTCGACACACTCTTGCTACGACGTTGTCATATATTGATGTTTGGTCATGGACTTTCCAAATTGAGATATGACATGCAAGGTAACCTGGGTGCATTGGTTGGTAACTTTCTGGGATGCCGTGTCAAGTTCTGTTTCTTATATGCATTGTCTGTTTTCAAAATACAGTTCTGTTTTCACAGGAAATGTACAGTTTGCGTACAGTCTCTTTCAAAATAAACACACTACGTCTGTACCACAAATTGACTTTTTTCTCCTTCAACAGCACACACATGTGGTTGGGTTAGGCAACAAAAGCATGTGGTTGGGTTAAGAAAAAAAGAACGAGGTTTGGCTTTACAATCTTAAGGGAAGCAAACACCTGCCTCCCGCCTTAACTTTAATTGTTGTCTTGTTGCGTTTACCCCTGTAATGGCGGCTGGCGGGGTATCACTCCAAAATGAAAGGACAGCTTTTCTTGCCAGTGTCTGACGCCGGAAGACACTTACCAAGCACTTGAGTGAGACCACTTTAATTAATTTGTTCACTCATTTACAGTGTTGTGCAGTGATATGAATGAGTGTGTCCCAAAGTACATAGAAACCCTAGCACCAGAAAAGTCATACATAATGGGCCTCATTCAAACATGTGGAGAAATGTTCTTACTCTGCGCACGAAATAAGTATACACTCAGAATTATCGTCAGATTCATGACGTGCACACCAGCTGATTTTGTTTTCACCACCATGTGTACGTTAGTAAATCAGATTCATTTTAAATGAAAGGGTGCGTGCCTGCTATCTGCAATCAGCATGCTACCATGCCCCCAGTTTCTCTATAAGTAAATACATTTGCTGAGAGGTGCTGGGTTATGGAGGACCGGAACTGCCAAAATTAAAAATAAATACATAAATAAATAAATGAATCAATAAATAAATTTATATGGCATTAAATTGCACCAAAAATGCATAAAAAATAAATGTAGGCATTAATTAACTGATAAAACGCATCTTTTCTTTTTACTTTTACATTCCCTCACACATTCTTTGTACATTTACATTCCTACATACATTTTAACATTTGCATTCCTTCACTCATTCTTTATACATTTACACTTGTTCATACATTTACAGTTTGTTATGTTTTTTGAATAATAAATTACAACAGGGTTGCTGCACAGTTCAACTGTTTACTTCTCAACTCCAGTAGTACAACAATGTAACCAGCGTGCGTGACCCCACATACTGCATGCTGGGTAATGTAGTTCCTAACCAGTGTTTTCATAACAACACATCTTCCCTTCTTTTAAGACATTTTCCTTCTTTCTGGAAAGCACAAGCAGCTTGCAATATCATCACACATGAACTCAAATTAGTATCCCTAGTGATACATCTATGTGTCAAAACAAACAAGCTCATAACATTCAACAAACCTTTTTTTTTTTTTTTTCAATTCAGACACTTTCAGTCAATCTGTCAGGTTTCTTAATAGTCCTTCTCGGTCTGCTGCATGTCTCCTCAGATGGTTTGACCACAGGCCCTGCAGCATCCATTTGGTTCAGTATACTGGAATGAACCTGTTCTTTGCTGGAATGTCCTGCTTGTGTCTTTAGGGACATCTTCAGAGGTGTCACTGCTTTTATCTGGCCCTTGTGGTCGAAGATCCACTTGGTTTCTCCTCAGAGTCACTCCATCCTTTGTTTGAATCTGGTAGGAGCGCGGAGCAACTTCCCTCTGCACACATCCCTGCTTTGACCAGGTGCTTGTTATGTGATCATGTACACAGACTTGATCTCCAGGCTTAAAGATGGTCAACATTCTTGCACTTTTGTCATGTCGCTGTTTTTGTTTCTGTTTTTCCTTCTTCCTTAACTTTGACTTTGAGAGCTCATTTGGGAATCAATAGTTCCTCTTTTACTGGAAGGCTGGTATGTGCACCGGCCCATCAACATCTGAGCTGGAGACAAACCATTCTGCAATGGTGCGCTACGGTAGATCATGAGACTTCTGTGGAAGTCCTCGTGTCCATCATGTGCTTTCTTCATGATATTTTTCATCACTTTTACTGAGCTCTCTGCAAGGCCATTGGATCTGGGGTAATGCGGGCTCGAGGTGATGTGCTGAAAACCCCATGCCTTGGCAAAGGAAGCAAACTCACTACTCGAAAACTGAGGACCGTTGTCTGAAATCACCTCACATGGAACACTATGTCTTGCAAAGACAGCCTTCAGGAAAGCAATGACTGCCTTGCTGGATGTCGATTGCAGTTTGGCGACCTCTGGGTAGTTTGAGAAATAGTCTGTCACTACTATGTTACTCTGTCCATTACAGTCAAACAAATCCACACCCACCTTGTAGTATGGCCTGTTGGGGACGACGTGTGGCATGAGTGGCTCCGTCTGCTGCTTGGGTCTGTAGGTACGGCATATTTAACATGATGCTGTTAACTGGCTGATGTCTTGGTTCAGTCTGGGCCAGTACATGACTTCACGGGCTCTGCGTTTACATTTTTCCTCACCTAAATGTCCTTCATGTATTTTCCAAAGCATCTCTTTACACAGCGACCCTGGGATTACGAACTTGTTTCCTTTGAACACAAGGTCATTCACAACTGACAGTTCTGCTCTGCACTGCCAGTAGTCCTGTCTGTTGCCTCGGACAGTCATTTTTCTGTGCAGGCCATCCTTTCAGTATTGTGTTTTTGAGCTCCCTCATCGTTTCATCTGACTCTGTTGCTTGTCTGATCTGCTCCGTTCTGTCGTCCGACACAGGAAGAGCAGTGATGATCATGTCGACATAGGCCTGTATGCCTGCACTGGTCTCTTTGTCAGTGTTTTCAGTCTTATCCACTGCCCGCGATAGGGTGTCAGCTGCAAACATGTACTTTCCTGGTGTGTATATCATTGTCCCATCATATTTCTGCCACCTTATCAGCATCCTCTGTATTTTTATTGGACAAGTGGCTTAGACATGATGGAGACCAGTGGCTTGTGGTCTGTCTCCACCTCGAAGGCTTGTCCATAAATGTATTGATGGAACCGTTCACATGCGTAAGTGCTGGCCAGGAGTTCCTTCTCAATTTGAGCGTAGTTGCGTTCTGCGCTGGTTAAGGCTCTTGAAGCATATGCCACTGGCCGCCATGTTGTGTCATGCTGCTGCAGCAGTACTGCTCCAAGTCCATACTGAGATGCGTCAGCTGAAATTGTCAGGATCTGTATTTTATTTTGTATGCATTTCCTGTTTTATTTTGTAGTCTGTGTACGGCTATGTTGCTGTTAGTTTTGCATCCTGTTTTTTCCCCTCCACTGTGATTGCTGTCTCCGCCCTAATGTGTTTCACCTGTGTCTCATTCACCAGTGTATTTGAACCCTTTTACCGGTGTTTCATCCGGAACTACAGCCAGGTTGCTGCTCCTCTGCATGCCCTCACCTCCTCAAGCTCCAAGTTCTCCTCGTCCCCTGAGGCCGAGGCACCTTTCCGGGGCCTCCTGTCCAGGTTCTCCTCATAGCCTATCCTGCAGATGCCCGACCCCAAGCTCCAGTTTATTGTCGAAGTGGATGCCTCAGGTGTGGGGGTTGGGGCTGTCCTTTCCCAGCGCTCTGCTGATGACAGCAAGGTTCACCCCTGCGCCTTCTTCTCCTGGAAGCTTTCACCTGCCAAACGCAACTATGACATGGGGAACCGTGAGCTTCTGGCAGTGAAGTTGGCGTTGGAGGAGTGGAGGCACTGGCTGGAGGGGGCGGAGCAGCCGTTCCTAGTCTGGACTGACCACAAAAACCTGGAGTACATCTGTGGAGCTAAGCGACTCAACTCCAGGCAGGCTAGGTGGGCCTTGTTCTTCACCAGATTCAATTTCACTCTGTCGCCCTGGGTCCCGCAACATCAAGCCAGATGCCCTCTCCCGGCAGTTTGAGGCAGGAGACCGCCCTCGGGATGCAGCTACCATCCTGCCCCCAGACTGCGTTGTTGGGGCGGTGACTTGGGATGTTGAGAAGGAGGTCCAGTGTGCACTCCCAGAGACCCAGATTCCTGATGGTTGCCCTCCTGGTCAGCTCTTCGTCCCAGGCCCACTCCGTTCCCGAGTCCTGCAGTGGGGGCACTCTTCCCAGCTGAGCTGTCATCCCGGGGTGAGTAGAACTCTGAGTCTTATAACCCAATGTTTCTGGTGGCCCTCTCTTGGGGAGGATGCCCCTGATTTTGTCTCTGCCTGTCCTGTGCCCGCAGCAAGGTCTCCCATAGCCCTCCAGCCAGTCTCCTGAGGCCCTTACCTGTTCCACACCACCCCTGGTCCCACGTGTCCATGGACTTTGCCACAGGCTTGCCTCTCTCAGAGGGTAAGACAGTCATCCTCACAGTCATTGACCGCTTTTCCAAAATGGCTCACTTCATTGCCCTGCCTAAGCTGCCCTCCGCCAGGGAGACTGCGGAGGCAGTCCTGCTTCACGTTTTTCGGCTCCATGGTCTTCCTCAGGACATTGTGTCTGACCGGGGTCCCCAGTTCACCTCACGTTTCTGGAGGGAGTTCTGCAAGCTGCTCGGCTCATCAGTTAGCCTCTCCTCTGGCTTCCATCCTCAAACCAATGGCCAGACAGAGAGATACAACCAGGAGATGGAGACGGCCCTCCGGTGCATCACCTCCCAGAATCCCTCCAGTTCGTCTCGGCAGCTCCTCTGGGTGGAGTATGCCCACAATTCTCTCCCTGTGGCTTCCACCGGCCTGTCCCCATTCCAGTGCGCCTACGGGTACCAACCTCCACTTTTCTCTGACCTCGAGGGGGAGGTCTCTGTTCCCTCGGCCCAAGCCCTGGTTCGCCTATGTCACCTCACCTGGAGGAATGCTTGGGCGGCCCTCCTCTGCACCAACATCAGATACCAGAGATCCGCCAACTGTCGTTGCACCCCGGCTCCTTGCTACCAGGTGGGCCAGAAGGTCTGGCTCTCCACCCGTGACCTGCCTGTTAGGGGGGAGTGCCGCAAGTTGGGTCCCAGGTTTGTGGGGCCCTTCCCGATCTCTGAGATCGTCAACCCTGCAGCCTTCGTCTTCCTCGGACCATGAGGGTCCGTCCCACTTTCCATGTTTCCTGGATCAAGCCCGTCAAGACCAGCCATTTGGTCCCTCCCTCCGACCCTCCTCCTCCATCCAGGTTCATCGATGGCGGCCCCGTTTACTCTGTCAAGAAACTGTTGGCTGTCCGCCGTAGAGGCAGGGGGGTCGACTGGGAGGGGTACGGTCCGGAAGAGAGGTCCTGGGACATCATTGATAGACTCTGATACGTGACTTTCATAGACTGAACCCGGACATTCCCGGGACGTCTAGAGACGTCCGTTGAGGGTGGGGGG